TTATGACATAGCTTCATACCGTTCGATTGAGATAGCCATCCCTATTTTTTTTTAAATTGCTCTGGGGGGTGTGTGCGCGATTTTATGTAAAAATAAATAAAAATGGTACAAAAATACAATACGCCTCTAAAAATAGCGCGCATTGCATACTTTGAGTATAAAAGAATATTATTACTAAGTGAGGAGCCAAAATTTTGTAAATACCGTCTAAACGTGAGCAGAAATCGTATCGCGATTTTCGCGCATTTCACCCTGTAGCGTTTCATATTTTTTTTTTTTTTTTTCAGAACCCCATATTTTTAATTTTCTCAAAAGGCAGCTTTGCTCATCACAGGAATTGGGATTTCACATATATTTTTATAGATAATTTTGAGGACCCACCCGGACAAGGTTCGTTGAATTAAAATTAAACCACCCAGTAAGGTTTTAGAAAATTCGTGTCATATAGCCATGGGGTAGACGTCAAACGCTTCGGAAATATTGTGGATAGCTTTAAATATATTACTGTTTTTTTTTACATTTTATTTGTGCTTCTTTTGAAATAATGTAGACATAAAATACATGTGTATGAAACTAGCAGCACTTAAATGATTCATATTAATGATCACGTCTTTATTGTCTTCTCATCCTGCTTCTAAATGTCCTAAATAAAACTTTTTTTCTGTGTAGAGTGCCCACTAAAACAAGACATCGCGCGTTAGCTGTAAAAACAGATAACTAGAGGTTTTCCCGCTCATTTTAATTAAATTGATGGTCAATTTAATCCAAGTGTCATTGGATATAATTCAAACGTCATTGAATTTAATCGCAGCACCACCCGATTTAATCCCGGGGATAGTAAATTTAATCCACAATATATATATATGCACGTTCTTTTTCGTCTTCAGTGGTCTTGTTTCGCTTACACATTCATTAAATTAGAGTAATTGTTTATAGAATTACGTATTGTTATAGAATACTAATATATTGGTATCTATTTCAATCACTTGGAGTTCCTAATTGCACGACCAATATGTAGATTGTTGTTGTGGCATCCTCGAGATATTAGTGGTGCATTCAACTTTTCTTTAGCTGAATTGACATTTCGTTTCCTATTTCGCACTACCTCGACTAATTACTGCTACAGTTCAGATGATATATGTACAATTGCAATTTGTGATTACTCTCTTTATAACTTCTCGCTATTATTGACAAGGATGACTTTAAATCACTTCAACTCCTCAATTACTTCGACCTATGAACATCGCAATTTACATAATAAAAGTTCCGCAAACAGCTGTTATTCTCTCCAGTACTTCGAGGAATTATTGACAAAAATATATTTTTCATAAAATCTCATTTGACATTCTGATTACTTTTTGGTGCTATAGCTGTTATTGACACAAACAACTTAATACAAGAAAACATTTCATTACTCACTTGATTCCTTTAAATAAATTTGACAAATTCGACCTCACATAAGTTCAGCTAAGAGTTTTGATTGCGCCTTTAATTGATCAGAGTAAATATTCACCCATGTGACTTTAAATTACCTCAATTATGTTGCTGGATATTTTTTATCTTTTTTCTTATATTAGTCGCATAACTGAGTTTATAGCAGCATTATTGACATCTTGAATACTTGGTGTAACGAGTGACATCTCTGACTTTATATAGTGGTCTTATTTACGAAATTCTATCATTATTCTTTTGAACTTTTATGAAACCAGGTAATTTATTCGTAGTTCAGTTACCTTTTTGATCACTCCTTTGACTAACTTGGCTTACAATTGACCAAATGAAGCTTAATCTTCCCAATTGATATTATGATTACTCTTGACATTGTGGTACTTATCTTGATTAATTCGAGTTGTTATACAATGAGTTGATCTATTATTAGCTCAATTCAAAATGTTATTACTCATCTTCCTACTTCGTGTTAGTTTTCACACAAAAATTTGAATGCGGTCCAATTGGTATTATGATGACTCTTGATTATTTTGAGGTAATATTCAAATAGACTATTCATTATGAGCTCTATTGACATTATGATTGCTATTTCTACCCCTTTGAGTTACTATTGACCAAATAAATTTTAATTCCACCTAATTGACATTTTGGGGACTCTCTTGATTACTTTAAGTTACTATAGCAAACGTGCATTTTTTTATGAGCACAATTAACATTTTTATTCTTACTCTTTTGATTACTTTGCGGTAAATTTCACACAGTTGATTTGAATTTGGCCTAATTTACATTCTGATGACCATTTTGATTACTTTGAGCTAAAACTCAACTAACTGATTATTAAGAGTCTAATAGATTTGGCAATCACACATTTGATTACTTCGAGTTACTATTTACCCAATGAACTTTAATTCAATTAAATGAGATTGTGATGACCGTTTAGATTACATTGAGCTAATATTGAAACAAATTATTGTTATGGGCCCAAAAGGCATAATGATTGCTCTTTTGATTAGTTTGAGTTTCTATTGATGCAATGAACATTAATTCGCCATAATTTATATTTTGTCGACTCTCCTGATTACTTTGACTTATGACATCGCCAATCAACCTATTATGAGCTGAAATCACTTTAATATTAAGCTTTTGATTACTTCGAGTTACTTTTGATACAACGAATTACAGCAGATTTTAATTTGGACTACTTGACATTTTGATGGCCTTTTGATTACTATGAGCTAATATTCAACCAACTGATTTAATATAGGCCTAGTAGACGTTACGATATTTAATTTGATTACTTTGAGCTACTATTGACTTAATGGGCATTAATTCGGAGCAAAATATATCTTAGTGACTATTTGGATTGCTTTGAATTGCACCACCAATTGACATGTTCTGAGCGGAATTCAAAGCAATATTACTTTTTTGTTACTTCAAGTTAATGTTGACCAGGTGGACTTTAATATGCCCTATGAAACATTGTAATGACTCTTTTTATAATTTTGATATGATATTTATTCAATTAATTTATTATGAATCTAGTTGACATTATGGTAACAATTTTCATTACTTTTGAGTTTCTATTCACCCAGTCGATTTTAATTCGGCATAAAGGTTATTTTGCTGAATATCTTGATTACTTCGAGGTGTTATACCCCCAATTGATCTATTATGAGCTGAAATCACAATACTATTACTCCTTGACTGCTTCGAGTTACATTTGACACCATAAACTTTAATGCGGATCAATTGATATTGCGATAACCTTTAAAATTACTTTGAGCTAATATTAAACCAATTGAAATATTATTAGTCTGATTTACATTATTGCTACTCTATTGATTTCTCTGAGTTAGGATTAAACAATGGACCTTAGTAACGCCACATTAACACTTTCGTGACTTTTGATTTTTTCGGCTTATTTTACTATCAATTGATCTACTATGAGCTTAGTTCACAATATTATTATTTTTGTTATTTCTAATCTGTTTCGACACTATTAATTTTCATTCGGCCTAATTGACATTGCGATGAATCTTTTCATTAGTTTGAGCTAGTATTCAGCCAAAATGTTTGTCATTAGCTCATTTCACATCAGGATTGCTCTTTTGATTACAATGACCCATTACATTTTAACTCCGCCTAATTGACATTTGTGTGACTCTCTTGATTGCGTCGAGTTATTATACTATCATTTGATCTATTATGAGCACATTTCACACTATGACTACACTTTTCACTACTTCGAGGTTTCTTTGACCCACTGGTCTTTAATTCGATCTAATTCACATTGTAATGATTATTTTGATTACGTTGAGCAAATAGGCACTCTAAAACATCAATTGGCTGAATATTAGCTCAAAGTAATAAAAATGTATCAAAATATGAGTCAGGGCACATTAAAATATATTGGTTCAAAGAAAACTTGAAGTAATCAAAAGAGTAATAGTAATGTGGTTTGACTGATATCGTAATAGGTCATTTGGTCATATAACAGCTCGAAGTAATGAAGAGTATCACCAAAATGCCACTTACGCCAAACAACTCTATCAAGATATCAATAACGCTGATATAAACTCAGTTATGTGACTAATATATCGGCGAAGGATAAAAAGTACCCACCCTACTTAATTTGAAGTCAATTAGGTTAATTAATCAAGAATTAACCAAGAATTAATCCAGGAGTAATCAAACTGATGTTATATGAGGTCGCATAAACTGATGTTATATGAGGTCGCATCTTTGGTCGCATCTTTCAATATTAATTCATTGTAATCAACTGAGTAACACAAAGTTTGCTTCTGCAAAGTTTTTGTGTCAATAATAACCATACAACGAAAAAGTAATCACAATAATAAATGAGCTTCTACGAAGTTTATTTTCGTCCCTAATTCTTTGAAGTCATCAAGAGAGCAATAAAATTATAAATTTAGCTAAAGTTGTGTGTGCCGCTAATATTTCGACGTTACCGAAGCAGTAATCCACCTGTCGATCATGCGACTAGTAGCCCGAAGTGATTGAAATAGCTAACAATATTACAGTAGGCCCCAACAAAATATTGTATAAACAACCCAAGCAGCACGGATTTTGGCCATGCAATGGCCAATGTCTGGCGATGGTCTTTTGGTCAGGGGCCAGAGAGTGGCCATTCATTGGCCAATGCTTGGCTAATGGCTGATGGCCAGTAGCCATTTGCCAATGGCCAGATAAAGGCCAGTCACCGGCCAGTCTCTGGCCGCTGTCTGGCCACTTGGCCAAGGACCATTGCCAGCCATTGGCCGATGACTGGCCCACTCTGTGCTGCTTGGGAATTACTCTAATGAATGAAGTGTGTAAGCGAAACAGATCACAAGAGACAACAACGTGCATGAATATAAGGTGTATTAAATTGATTGACCCTAGAATTATATCGGTCGCGCTGGGAATAAATCAAAATGGTACTTGAATTACATTGATTGTAACTTGGACTGAATTGACCACTCCTTGCAATAAAATGAGCCGGAAAAACTGGTCAGCCATTATAAGAAACGGTGTGGTAGCCATGTACTTACAGATGTGCGATCTGGCTGACTAGCGATCTAAGTCCATCAAAATAACGACCCTTGTCTTCGACGACACCAACACGGAGATGAGTGCAGATTCCATCCTTGTATGAAATACCTGCCAGGGGTTTAGCATTAGGTATCAGTAGTTTTAATGTTAATCCGTATCTGTAGTGCATGAGAGTCTATAAAGAACAATTTTCATTCACAGTTAGCCATCCCTTACAAAAATGATTATTGAGTTTCAATTGAGTTTCTATTCAGTGTAATGACTCTTAATTGAAACTCGTTTTATTTTTTGTAAGGGATTACGGGGAGAAGAAGAAGAAAATTAGGTGTTTAATGGCACAGCGGCAACTAAGGCCATAGTGTGCCAAACACAAGGTAAGTTAAAGGCTATACTGAAAAGACCTATAGTAGATAGTTCCATTTTAAAACTATGGGGAATGAATTTTTAAAACATTACAAGATACAGGTCAATTAAGGCCTCCAAAAAGTTTTAACCGATGCTCCACAAACCAGAGGCACTCTAAAGGAATTTCATTCACACTAGAAAGTATGAGAAGATGTGCCGACGATAGAAGATCGCTGGGACTCTGCCACCGCTAATCTTCAGGCAAATGTTAAAGAAATGAAAACAAACTAAAATTCATAGCTGATGTAGGATGTCAATGCTATATAAAAACTTAAAAACTTAACGGTGCGGCACAAGAGGTTCGTCACCCAATAATAATGCCGGGTGAAAAGGGACGTGATTGCGGAAAAAGGTAGAGAAAAAATTGGTGCGTTCATGATGGTACTTAGAACATGTGATGAGGATATGCATGTCACTCAACGACTCGTTCCAGCGTTCACATTTCGGAGCTGCCTCTGCCCGTAGGAGGTACCCATGCGTGAGATGGGTGTGTCCCATTCTCGGACGACAGAGCACAACCTCAAAGAAGCGCTCCCTGTGTCGGCAACTTGCCCATTCCCGCAGGGTAGGTTGCACGCAATGGAGCTTGTTGTGTATTTCCGTGTCCCATTCTAACTGCCTGTTTTTCTGGATTGCTCTTTTAAGACTGTGTTTGTAATCAGTGTACGGAATGTCCTTGATATCCACTTGCCTCTCAATGCACGTACTGGCAGCTCTATCAGTATCCTCATTTCCCTGAATACCGACGTGACTAGGCATCCAACAGAAATTGATGCGTAGGTGTGATTTCGCTGCAGTGTGCACAATGTTCCGGAGCCTAGTAACGAAGGTATTCTTTGGTACTTCCAAAGAAGCAAGTGCATTTAATGTGCTGAGAGAGTCAGAGTAGATAACAGAATACTGCAGTAAAGATTGAGGCTCTGGCATCAAGACGTCTAACAACCTTCCATGTCTCGCTTATAACAGCAGAACCAACAACAGAGTCACATCTGTGAAGAAGCTCCTACAGTTGCGGTATGTATAAGCAACCTGGAAAAACTCCTGCTGTAGGGCAGCAACAGGAGTTTGCCGCTTATTATATTTAATCAGAGTAAAATTGATTATGGGTGCTATGCACTCACAAGGAGCTACTGCAGCTGGGAGTTGAGCAACTAGGCTGCAACTGTCAAGGTTGTACGCCTGTGAATACGCTTTAATGCTCTGCGTAAAAGGGGGTACGACAGATGGCTTGTTCTGGAATGTGGTTTCGTAGCGAGAATCCTGGATTGCTTCTTTGATTGGATGAGAAGAAATAGAGCGAATTCTTAATACATACTGGAACCCTAAATAAAATCGCCTCTTTGCAAATGAATATTCACTACACTCAGCATACAAACTCCGTATAGGGTACGTCCGAAAAGCACCAGGCGAAAGCCTCAGGCCTTGATGGTGGATCGGGTCCAACACGTGAAGGGTAGATTGGCGTGCGGACCTATACACTACGCATCCGTAATCTAATTTCGAACGAACCAAGCTGTGGTAGAGACGAAGGAGGCATTCCCGATCGCTACCCCAAGACTTATGGGAAAGCACCTTTAGGAGGTTCATTGACCTTGAGTACTTATTTTTCAGGTAAAGTACATGAGTACGGAAATTCAACATTTATCAAATATCACCCTTAGACACTTGTGTTTATTACGAACAGGAATTGCCTGCCCCCTTAAGGTCAGACTAGGCTTTAGGATGATGCCCCTACGTAATGAGAAGTTGACACATACTGACTTCTCTGGTGAAAAACTAAACCCATTGGCGTCAGCCCACCTCATCAGACTATTAACTCCCAGCTGAAGTTGTCTCTCGCAGACCGAAATGTTACACGAACAGCAAGAGATCAGCAAGTCATCCACGTAAAGAGAACAGGAAAGTGATTGTGGGATAGACTTTGCAATAGAGTTCATTTTTATTAAAAATGGTGTTACGCTAAGGACACCACCTTGTGGAACTCCATTCTCTTGGACAAAACTACGAGAGAAGATTGTACCAAGCTTGACATGGAAGTATCTGTCTTCCAAGAAGCTTTTGATAAGTGAGAGCATTCGGCCACGAATTCCATACGAGACAAGATCGTTCAAGTTTCCATACCTCCATGTTGTGTCATCAGCCTTCTCTATATATAGAAAGACAGAAACACAATGGTGTCTATTCGCAAAAGCCTCACGAATAGTTTTCTCGAGTCTGACTAGGTGGTCTACTGTTGATCTCTGGGCACGAAAACCGCACTGAAACTTATCGAGCAGGTTATTTTCCGCTAGAATATAGACCAATCTCTAGTTTACAATCCGTTCAAAGGTTTTCCCCAAGGAACTGGTGAGGGCTATGGGCCGGTAACTTGAGGGTAATTATGGATATTTTCCTTGCTTGAGAAGCGGGATAACCTCGGCTCTTTTCCAGGACACTGGGAGGACACCTTCTCGCCAGATTTGGTTAAAAAAGTTTAAAAGCGCTTGCAGGGTATCAAAATGCAAATGCTTGAGCATACAGTAATGAATCCGGTCTGATCCTGGGGAGGTATTTTTACTTTTATTTAAAGCTGCCTGTAACTCTCGAAAAGTAAATGGTCTATTATAGGGTTCTCGTAGTCCCCCAGAGGTATTTACTCTCTTCGTCTCTATAACACTTTTATGCTTTAAAAATGCAGCCGAGTAATGTGATGAACCCGATACAGATGCAAAGTGCTCTCCTAGAATATTGGCCTGCTGCTCAAGACTAGGCAGTACACCACCTGGCAGAAGAAAAAGTGGTATAGAAAAGGCTTGATAATCCCCATTGATCTTATGCACTTTTACCCAGACCATTTTTACATTGGTGTGACTATTTACGGAGGAGGTGTATTTCTTCCATGTCGTCTTTTTGGATTGACGACGAACATATCGAGCCTTCGCCCGAGCCTGTTTGAAGGCTAAGACATTTAGAGGCGTCGGGTACCGGCGTAGCATATCCCATGAACAATTTTGTTTTCTCCAAGTCTCGCTGCACTCCTCAGTCCACCAAGGTTTCGGTTTAACAGGAAGGCGTGTAGAAGTCTGCGAGATAGCTTTATGAGCTGCCTCAACTATAGACGCAGTAAGGAATTTGCAGGCATCATTCATATCCAAGTCAACTAAGGTTTCAGGGTTAACCTCACATAAACTTTCAAACATGACCCAGTCTGCCTGGTCTACTTTCCAGCGTGGTGAACGTGTCATGAGAGAGGATGAAGGAGCAGTGCACTTTAAAATAATGGGAAAATGGTCGCTACCATATGGGTTAGGATCAACATGCCATGAAAAGTTGGGAAAGTGTGTGGCAGTCCCAATGGAAAGATCAATGCATGACGAAGAAAGGTGTTGAAAGCTAAAAAAAGGTAGGCTCACCAGTAACAAAAAGACAAAGTGTTCGCGAGAATAAGACAGTCTCAATGATTTTCCCTCGGATGTCACGACGTGTGCTCCCCCATAGTGGTTTGTGAGAATTAAAATCGTCAATCAAAAGGAATGGCTCAGGAAGCTGGTCTGAAAACGAATTAAAATCTGAGGATTTCAAAGTAAAGGATGGTCGTAAGTACAAAGAGCACACGGTCAGAGCTTTGTGAAGCACAAACCGTACAGCCACTGCTTCCAGTGAGGTAGGCAGTGGAACCTGTACACAGGGCACTTCTCTCGGGAGAACCACCGCAACTCCTCCAGAAGAACTGACTGAGCACGGACGATCCTTCCGGAATACCTGGTACCGTCTGAGGAAGTTGGTATGGCTGGAGTTTAAATGAGTTTCCTGCAAACATAGCACACGTGGCTTGTGTTCCTCCAGCAAAAACTCCACATCATCTAGGTCACTTAAGAGCCCTCGACAGTTCCACTGCATTAGCACTGAATCCATTATAAAGATATAAAATTACGAGCACACGGGTGAAGAGCGAAATAAATGTAATCACTTCGGAGGGATCACGGGTTTTTTAGTTTTTTGTTTGGTCTTCGGATATTGCCACTCCATCTCCTACTGGTCAGACCCAGGGGTAGATGGGGAGGTGGACGGGGCAGGAGCACCGCTCTCCTGAGCTCCGCAAGCAGGCTTGCTTGCCGACTTGGGAGGGTCGGAGCTGCAAAATTCTAACCTGCGGCCGCGACCAGAACTTGAGGGCAGGGTGGCAGATGTACTTGGGAGAGGTTCAACCCCGTCCATCTGCTCCGCCTCCTTTTGTGTTGAAGAAGCTGCGTGAGGACCATGCAGCTCCTTGGTTGCTGGCGGTCTCTCCAGGGAGTGAGGCCGAGAGCCTCGCTTTTTCTCCCTGGTAGGAGACCCTGCGGACTGTACAGGCGCAGCAGGCGCTGGCCTGTCTTGGGATGTGGGAGCAGCTGGCGAACCCTCTCCGCGAAGAGAGGGAGCCCGCTGCCCCTGGGCAGGCTTTGGTGTCGTGAGGGCGGCAGCCAGACCTTCGAGCAAGACCTGGGTTGCCCTCGACTCCATACGTGGCGCAGGACCCCGGCGCGCCACGTCGGCGTACGAGCCTTGTCCAAGAAAGGACCAGCGTTTCTTGGCCTCAAGATATGAAACGTTCTCTTTAGCCTTCAAACTCAAGATCTCTTTCTCCTGCTTCCACAGGGGACAAACACGGGAGTACGCTGCATGGGTGCCCTTGCAGTTGTAGCAGCACACAGTGTTTTCACAGATGTCTCCGACTTGTTCGT